TAGACATTCTTCCTGATGAACCAACTGAAGGTGAAACAATTTTTAGAAGCAAAAAATTAGATAAGTGTTTTTACTAATTTATTATTGCTCTGTTCTTTAAGAACATTGAGCACTCTATTTGTAGAATACACTAACATAACTTATATATATAATAATATATATAATATAATAATATATATATATATATTATTATTATATATATATGTATAATAATATATAATAATATATATATAATAATATATATATATATATATATATATATATATATATATATATATATATATATATATATATATATATATATATATATATATATATATATATGTATATATATATTATTATATATATATATATATATATATATATATTATATATATATATATATATATATATATATATATATATATATATATATATATATATATATATATATATATATATATATATATATATATATATATATATGTATATATATACTGTCAAAGGCCTTTCTGAAATTGTGGTTTATCGTTTCAACTGGATACTTGCTCTCCGTGTACGTTGATCAAAAAATCGATTGTTTCGAGTGATTTCGTTCACAAGCCCTCTTCTTTACAAAGCCATGCTGGTGTTGCAATAGAGCAACATGCAGATGCAAATGGTCAGTGATTACTTCACATATAAATCTTTCCAAAATTTTGCATTGAACTGATGTTAAAGACACTGGTCTGTACTTTAACACAAGGTCGCCATTCTTGAACAAAGGGATTATGTTTGTTTCACTTTGTGTCTGATTTAATTGTAAGGCTGAATATGATTGCTAGAGGTTTTGAGAGTGTTGATGCAAATTGCTTAAGTACAGACAAACTCACCACATTGCTGCCTATTGCTTTGTTTTTGACCAATTGTTCTAGTTTATATTTTACATTCTCTGAATTACACTCCTCTAGTCCAGTCTTCATTTATTATTTAATTTTGGAAGCGCTCTATCTCCCACAGGCACAAATACAGGTTGGAAAATTTCATTGAGGCAATTGACGATTGTTTTCTTGTTCAAGATTATAGCACCTGTATTCTCTTTCAACAATTGCACATTGTGTTTCAACTTTGCGTGTCTTTTTGCATACATATAGTTAATCAAAGATTCTGTCTTTTTCTTGTCAGCAATTGTTTTTTCGTACTCGCTCATTTCTTTACAGCTTTTTTCAATAAATTGCTGACTCAAGTTGTTATATTTTCTTTTTTTTTTGTTATATTTGTGTGCCTTATTGATTAATCCTAGTCGCGGTCCTATTTCTATGTCTATCACTCTTTCACCATTGTCCGTTATTTCAAAATCTAGTATGTTTGCTTGTTTTCCATCATCAATTTGAAACCTTAATTAGGACATGCACTGGTGGAGAAAATATTAAAAACGAATTTTGTTTAAATTTATTTAGTAAATCACTAGACTTGCATCTGAATTATCACCTCTCCCCTAGTAAATCATTAAAGTTGCATATGAATTATACTCTCCCCCTAGTAAATCATTCAATATGAGATGTATGTTAATAGTGTTGAATGATAATGATAGGATTGATATAACTGTTATTATTATGTAGCTATATATTTTTTGTACTGTAATTGAAATTTGTAGAGCTTTTGATATATAAGTTGTAGGATTATTTCTTTAATTTAGGAACATTGGAAAAAGACAAGTGTGAATCTTACTTTAATTAGAATAGTTATCGTACAAAATATAGTAATTTTAATTTAAAGATACAGTAATATTATATTAATTTATATATTTTTTCAAGTTTAAACTTCAACTTTATACAATATATGCTTTCAAGTTCTATTTTTGTCATTTCTATTGTTTTATTTTTATAAACTGGTATTTTATAGTTTCATTAAAAGGATTATATTTTATTCAAATTTAAAAATGTCTTTGTGTTATATTCTTTTTCACCTTTTTTTTTAGTTCGTACTTGAGGTTATGCCCTTCTTCATTATTTACATTTAATTTCTCTTCTGTTGAAATATGGTTTAAATTTAGTAAATTTTCATGACATAAAGTTTACTTTATTGATCATTTGCCAACAGTTTAGGTTGTAAAATTTTATTTCACACAAGGTAAGAATAACTTTGTTTTCTGGTAACACCACTAAACGTTTTTTTGTGATTATTTTTTGTTTAACTTTATTTTTGCGTAACTGTATTTGTCTTGGCTTTTCATGGCTTGTGATGATATTGTTCATAACTTTTTGTGTATTTGTGTTTGTCATGGCAACAATATATATTTTTTAAATTTATGGTAAAAATATGATTTAAAAAAATTGTTTGATGATATAAATGAAAATGATTTAAATGTAGTACATACAGGTATGTTTTGTAATTTATTGTGCATGATCACTTTAGATTACTTGCAAAACTAGTAAGCATTTCTTGATAGCACAATCACTAAAGACCAGTTTTGTTAATTGCTTACTACTATAGCTTAGTTAAAAACTTAGGTAAACAGGGGCTCTATTCATCAAAGTTTGTAATGTTTCGTATTCTTATTTATAGGAAAGAAAATTGCTTTAATATTTGTTTTTGATGAATGAATTTCTTAAAGAAAAAAATATACCTACTCTTCCCATGTATCAAATTTATTACGGGCCTCAAATTATACAAATTAATTTTAGACTAAAAGAATCGGACAGTACTGTATAAATTAATTAAAACTAATTAAAAATTAAACATAAAAAACGAATATTTCCATTAAACCATCTAAAATAAATTAAATGTAAAATGACTAATATTTCCTTTAAAGTACGTTAATTAAATTTAATTATATATGAGCTAAATATAAAACGAACAGCTGCAGCACGCCATATAAGCGTAATTTAAATATAAACAAAGCTAAAACGAATAATATTAATAAACCGTATAAAAGTAAAATAAGAATAAACTAAAAACCAAACGAGTACCATCACTTAACCGTACAACTAGAATAAAATAAATTTAATATAAAACGAATATTTATAGTATGCCGTATTAATGTAAACTAAATAGTAAAAGAATAACTAAAATAAAACGTATTTGCATATAAACTGAATATAAAATTAGTATCTTAAATACACCATATAAATTGAACTAAGTAGAAACTAAATTTGAAACGAATTATTTTACTGATAACCGTATAAATTAAACTAAGTTTAAAATTACACCATATATTTGTATTTAAATACACAAAAGTTAGTCTTAAAATAAATATAAAACAAAGAACCGCATTAAAACATATTGACCAAATGAAAATTAAGCATAACACGAACAACTCTATCTAACCATGTCAATACTACCATTTTGAACCAGATCATGAACCACATCAGACCACAGAATCCATACCATCCGTGAGACATCCATGATACGCATCTATAATATATGTTTAATATGGCTATGGTTCAAAAAGCAAAGTATTTACAAATATACAGATTCATACAAATATAGACATTAAATGACATATAAAACTTTAACATTTAGAACACTATAAACTCAAAGCACAATAATTAACACAACACTTACTTATATCTAACTTAAACAACACTCACTTAACTCCAACTTAATCACTGAACAATACTCCCCTCTTAAACACCACCTCTCAATACTGGACACCTGTCCAAATATTATAATTTATCTGGCACTCCCTTGCACTTATATAATACATTTCTTCCTTCTCTTAAGACTATTACGACCTGATGGTTTCATATAAGTGGTGGAACTTTAATAGCTTCCACTGCAAAACAATAGCAGAAAGAACTTGCTTTCTTGATGTTGGCATTAGCCACATTCAATGCCTGATAACCTCTTCTGATTGATCAAAAAGTTCTTAGAGATCCTCCCTTTGCAAGATATTTTGTTGAAATGTCACACTAAGAGCATGGGTGTGCACTAGAATGTACTTGTAGACCACAAATGACATTTGACGGCTTTATATCACAGAAAAAAGCTAAGGGAAGTTCTTCAAGGTTTAGCAGATTAAAAACTTGCTTGACATTGCTATAGTTTTCCTGGAGATTGAGAAGCTGGATCTTTTTCCACGATTACAAAGCTTACTTTTAGAAAACCACCACCACGATCCACTCCCAGCTTCCTAATGTAGTCATCGGAGACGTTTCTAGTTTCAAGAACTTGCAAGTCTTTTCAGTGAATGACAAGTTTATCCATTCTTGTTAGTTGAAACTAGTATGAAAAAAATGAATTAAACAACTAATGCTCAAGTTTTTCCCAGAATTTTATTTCAATAGTTTTTAAAAAAGCAATTTCGATTTTTTTAAATTTTTTTGATACTGATAATTTGTATATTCTTATTTTCTTACTAAGAAATCAACTAATTTTTTTTTCTTTTAATTTTATTTAGGTGCCCCAAGAAGTCCTTACGGTCTTATCACAGATCACCGCGGATGAGCATTTGATTGAAAGTTCACGCCTCCTTCCTAACCGATGTCGCAAAACTTTCTCAGAGATGGGGTTTGAACAACGGATCCTTTGTTTCTGAGGCAAGTGCGCTACCACTGCGCCACGACTGCTTGAGCTGTTGCTCTATTTAACACCACCTATCAAATTTTATATAGTGAATGAAAGTAAAAGTTATAAAAAATAAGGTTTTATTGCTCTAGAGTTAAATTTATTGCAGTTTTTAATGCGGTTTTACGCAAATTAGAAAATAGATTTTCTTCCACGAACGGTGTAACCAGATTTAGGGACTTATATCCCAGTAACCACCAATGATAGTATAGTCATACCCCCAAAGGATTTTTCTGGGTCATGACATCAAGTAATATTTCATTTTTTACAACAGTGTGTTGGCTAATGATCAGTAAAGTAAATTTAAAGTCATGAAAGTTTACTAAAGTTGAACCATTTTTCAACAGTAAATAAATTAAATACAAATAACGAAGAAGAGCAGAACCTCAAAAAAAAAAGGAAAAAAAAAAAATAGTCATTTCTAAATTTAAATAAATTAAAATCCTTTTAATGAAAGCATAAATCTTCCTAACGCTGCTTTATATATATTTTTTTGCGTCAATTCCCAACTAAATTAGAGGTTGCTTGAAGCCTTGTTGGAACATGATTAAAAAGTGAACATGATAAAAAAAAGTTTCAAAAATTATTTGTAATTTACAAATTTGCGCATCCAAAGCAAAAGTATGCCCGAATCGAGTTTTCATTGCTTCGGTGGAAAGAATTTATCAAAGCTGACGATGGAACCCTAGCTGCAATATCATATTTTGGTACATTGGAAGCTTCACCTGATATATTTACAATAAATAATATGAAAGGTTTCGTTGTTAGAGTCTACGATGATCAAAAAAGGACAGAAGATGTTTATACTCTTTTACAACTTCGTTGGTTCTTTTTTTCGATAATAAATGCCATTAATTCCGGTTTAATCTACAACGTTAGTTGACTTATCACCGTCAATTAATTATTTTCAGAAGATCCTTTCTTTTTTAGATTAAATATTGCAAACTGTAAATATCATTTTGGTTTACAAATTAAAATGTTTGTATCTTTATACAATGCGAATTTTAATATATGTACCAGCTCAATTATATTAATTCTACGTTATTTATAAAAAATGGTTATCTAGTGGTAATTTCATCAATTGACCCCCGATTAGGTAAAGTACATAATGCCCTATATCTTATGAAGTAAAAATTTCAACATATGTTTTTTATATGTTTTCAAAGGCTTTTTTAATGCTCTTTCTACTGGTACAAAACATTTGAAAAATAACGTATTTTTATTCGCATAAAATGTGCAGAGTAATAGTGATAGGATATGAGGAGTAAAAAATTCCTAATTTTCGGAGTATAAAAAATTTCACAAATGTAGAATAAAATTTCATATGCTAACATGTTTTTAATAATATGTGGCTATGAAAATAACCGTTTTTAAAAAGTAGCTTAACAACTCTTCAGCATTGATCACAACATCTTGTTACTCTATGAAATAAAATTAACAGTATAAAAAATATCAATGAATTTTACTATAATAATAAAATTATATTTTTATTACAATAACAATATAACTTTAGTTTTAACACCATTATAGCATTCTGTACACGAGAATGCATTTCCCTTATAATCACAGCAGTAAAAAATAAAAATAATATATATATATATATATATATATATATATACATATATCACACAAATACATACTATAAAGTTAAAAATTTCATTCAAATTTAATAAGCATATCATAATATTTGAGAAAATTAAAATTTACTTGTTTATAGATTAGGATTCATTTTGTTCTACAGCTAGAGCAAGACCACATCTTATTATTGCTCAAAATAGAGTCTGGAACACTTTCGCACTTTCTATGATATAACATTAAGCAACTTTTGCATTTGATCATGTGTCTAATATAATAATATTCAATTTATTTATTATATATATATATATATATATATATATATATATATATATATATATATATATATATATATATATATATATATATATATATATATATATATCATATTGCATAAATAGGTCCACATGAAAAGTTACTGATGACATCATACTGCATTAGCTAAAGCAAAAAGTTTTACCAGGTATCATTGTATAAACGATATTTATGAATGAAAATACGTATAACAACTTACTTTCCGTAAATAACTTGATACTGTGGTGTCAAAATCATCCTGCAAGAACAGAAGATTTTCAATATAAACTCTTTTGAATGGCATCGACGACTTGCACAATTTGAAAGTGGAAAAGATCTCATTACATTTTCCTTCAAGCACTAGAGAACATGACTTCTAAATTGTTTTTGGTCAAACCAAATATGTTCAACAGGGTTTTTGTTGTTTGATAAAATAAATTCAACAAAAGCCAGCGAAAACAAACCACAATCTACATATCCTTCTTGCTGCTGCACTGGTAAAACATTTACTTTGATCATAGCTTCATTATATTTTAAAAGAGAACATATTTGATTCTGAGTATCTATTGATAAATTTCCTTGAAAGTTACTGTCAAGTACATAAATTTCTCCATATTTACAACCATATGTGCTGAGAGCAAGCCAATGGTGATGCTCATTATAAATGATTTGAACAAATGGTTGTGAACCTACCCAGCTAGCACACATACGTTGGGCCAACGTCGGGCCAACGTCGAAAGCGTTGGACAATTTTAATAACTAAGTGCTGACGTCGGGCCAACGTCGGGTCAACGTCGAAATTCGACTCATTATTTTGATTTTTAAATGCGTACAGTGTGTTACAGGTTTTAGCGTGAAAATATTTTTCGGCCATTTTTTAGAGCTTTTTTAGGCGACTTTTTATTAGAATATTTTATTAGTTGGAAAATTCATGATTTAGTTCTAAAATTCATGATTTTATAATTATATTATAGAATTTAATATCAGATCATTACAAAAAAAAAATTAAAGAAATATGTTTTAATAAAAAAAATATATTGT